TATAGAATTCAATGCATCGTTATCTCCTCTTTCTAACGGTGAAAACCGCAAATCTCTTTCTTGTTTCAATCAAAATTTATTCTAAAAACTGGTTACTCTTCATATATTTTAGAATTTTGATTAATTTGTGCAGTAAAAAAAATGTCACGTCTTTTTCTAATACATTTTTTATACTTCAAACTGCATTTGTTGTTCCATGTAAATATACTATAAGATGCAGCGCGTTCTGGGCTTTCCTTCTGTATATAGGAAGTTAATAAATTAAAAAGGTTTAGTAATAAAAACTAAAAAAATACAAAGGAAGGAAAAACTTTTGAGGTACACAATAAAATTGTATTTTCTAGACAGAAAACATGAAAGCAGATATTTATTCGATTGAGAAATTATTAATTTATTTGCCATTAATATTCGTGGTGAAAGACGAGAAACAATATTGAATATCCATTGAATAGTTATATATTAAAAAGAAAAAGAGAAGAGTTTAACGATAAAATGAATATACTGATTGAAATTAAAAATCTCAATATGCATACTCTTGTTGATATATGATTCTGTAGAATTTAATATCCAATCTTCAATAAAAACTGAAATAGTAATGAGTTTCCAATGAGGAAAAAAATGTTATATTCATTTAGTAAAAACATTGAATAAATTTTTAGAGTTTCTATATTCGAGAATAAATTTAAATATAATACAATCCAGCAAGTGTAGTTTTCAGTTTTGTTTTTTTTTTTACAAAACGTTGGAAGAATGATTGATTTAAAATGACATACATCTTTCGATATATATATATGTATGATATCAATAAAACTAAAGAGTAATAAGAAAGAGAAAATCAAAGATACATCGTCACCGACTACAAATTATTTGTTGGAATAAAGAGAAAAAAGTGAATATCTATTAAGAACATCCATATACATGTGTATCAAATTCGGAGAAAAACAAACACCACTGCACATAATCACTGTTTAGAAATAATAACGAAAAATCAATTTCTAATTTAGTTAGCCGATGACATACGTCGACGACATACAGGACATATACGTGTTATTAATAACCAATTAGTAACACATTCAGCATGAAATAAATGTTCACAATCAAGTTTCTTAACGGGTTCATTTGCTTCAAAATTTGTTTGACAAATCGCACTAAAAACAAAACAAAAAAATAAAGAAAACATAATCATTTATTTTATTTTATTGTTTTTCGATAAAAAAAAATGTCTAACCATTCAGTTTGATTAAATTGATCAGGTTGTTGACCAAATAAAACAACTGGTAATGCATCTATATTTTCTTGTGTTGCTGGAGGATTTGGATTAATTGGTACAGGTGAAGCTGCTAACCAACCCTATACAATTTATAACAATTTAAAATAAAAAAAAACAAAAAAAAATCTTTTTTATTTTATCTTACTCGAAGTAATTCAAGTATTGGAACAGTTATTGATGCTGGTAAACAATAACTTAAAATAATTCCAAAAAAAACTCCCAAACAACATAAAATTAATATTAATGGTATAACAAGTAATGGAAATAATATTCGTATCCATTGCCATATTAATAAAGTTTTATATAAATTAGGTGCATTTTCTCTACATGGTTGACCTGAACGTGGTTGAAATAAAAATAAAGCTCCAACTGAAAAATAATAAACAACAATAAGTGCACCAAAATAAGTTAAAAAATATTGTAAACCATAATAATAAATATATAATTGACGTCCATTTGTTAAACGATAACATAATTGACTTATTAATAAATGAATTATATGTAATAAAGTTGTACAAGAAAATAAAATAAAACCTATATAAGCATAACTTTTTAAAGGTGCACCTAAATAAATATCTGTTGAATTATAATATATACATGATGAGTGTTGAACATTTTTCATAGATGATCCAATTGTACTAATATATGTTAAATTAATAATTAATATCCATGAAAGAATAAAACCTTCAACTATTAATGAACGTCGTGTTGGTAATTCAGGTTTAGTTGGTGGTATAACCATAATTAATAATGTACTTACACAAACAATTCCAAGAGAAAATCTTATTAATTCACAATTATTTGTTTCTGATAATTTTGATGTTAATGTATAAGCTGTTCCAATAGCAACAGGTATTAATTTAAAAAAAATAAATATACCACGTAAAGCTGATACACGTCGAAGTTGTTCGATTTTTTCTTCTTCACTTAATCGTCTATAATTTGATGATTTATTATAGAAAAAAAAATAAATAATTATTATTAAATCAATTAAATAAAATATTAATAAACATATTGATGTTAAAACTAAACGATTTGTTCTATAACAAAGATTTTTTGTTGATGATAGACCAATTATAAGTATAATTATATCAACTAAACGATAAAATAAATGTAATAAACTACCAGATAATATTCTATCAAATTCATTAAATGAATTAATCCATGTTCGTTCATTATTATCATTTATTAATGTTGATCTTTGATTAGTTGTTGGTGATAGACCATTTTCTAATGAATTTATTCGATCATCATTATTACGAATAGCTCTTTCTTCACAATTTGAATTTGTTATATTATGAACACCATTATCAATTGATGATGTTGACATTATAATTATTTATTTATTTATACAATCTTAACTAAAAAAACAGAAAACTATAACAATCGATTAACATATTTAATTAATTATTCTTTAAAAAATCTTTATTATACGAGATAAAAACATATATTTTTAAAAAAAAACATTGATAAATAAAGGTGAATATATTAACTATCAACTCTCCATCATTTCACCGATAAGCTTTGATAGTAAAGATATTTTATAACTTATTCTTCTTTTCTTTGTCTTTGTCGAATTATAAAGTACTCAATCATTCACTCAGATAAATAAATAATATTTACCAAACTATGGGATTTATAATAAATGACATCATTGGAAATTACTCATGTGTTTTTTATTTCACGTCTACAATCATGCTCATTCAATCAATAAATTAACAATTTTATATAGAAACCTCAAGGTAGTTTTTTTTTCGAATATATATCAAGTTTTTTTTTATAAAAATTTGAGTAAATGCTTTTTTCGAAGAATGTTAACAAAAACTATTAAATATAAATCTATTTTCCCTCTATAGGTTACAAATTTCATCAACAGATAAATACTCAAATAAACAGCTGACAACTAACTTGTTTCTACGTTATGATTAGTCACATAATTGATGTAGCCGAACAAACAATTTCATAAAATATCTATATATATTATCGGTTAGTTTAAATAACCAATAGAATGTTTGTAATAGATGGCACTAGAGTTGACGTTTGAGTATGCCTTGTTGACCTCCATAAACAGTTGATAAAAATTTGAAATCTTTGTACAATCACATATATTGAAATCATCGGATTATTATTATATTAAAATGGATAAAAAAGAAGAAACAAAACCATCATTAACAGTAAAAAAAGAAGGTGTACGTCAAGAACGTTGGTATTTTGGTGGTTTATCTGGTGTACTTGCTGCATGTTGTACACATCCACTTGATACATTAAAAGTTCAATTACAAACTCAACAACGAGCTGAATATGGCCTTGTTTGTAAATATATCATTTTATTTTTTCTATTAAAAAAAAAAATGAAAAAATATTGTAGCAATGGCAGCTAAAATAATACGTGATGATGGATTTTTCGCACTTTATAATGGTTTGTCAGCATCATGTCTTCGTCAAGCAACATATACAACAACACGTTTTGCTATATATGGTGCTGTTAGATCACTTCGACCTGATTCAAATTTAAATTTTTTCGAAAAAATTTCTCTTGCCGCTTCTTCAGGAGCTATTGGTGCATTTGTTGGTTTGTTTAACATTTATTTAATAAAAAAGAAAAATTTTCAATTGAAAATTGATTTTATTTATTTAAAAAAAAAAAAAAGGTGCACCAGCTGATCTTATTAATGTTCGTATGCAAAATGATCCAAAATTAGCACGAGATAAACGACGAAATTATAAACATGCTATTGATGGAATTGTTCGTGTATGTCGAGAAGAAGGACCTAAAAAATTATTTAATGGTAAATCAATAGAAATAAATCTATTTTGTTTATTTAAATATTTATTTAAATAAAGGTGCATCAATGGCCGTTATTCGAGGATCTTTTGTGACTATTGGTCAAATTGCTTTTTATGAACAAGTTAAACAAGTTTTATTAGCTACTGGTTATTTTAAAGATAATATAATAACACATTTTACATCAAGTTTTGCTGCCGGTTAATTAGATTTAAATATTTAAAAAGAAAAAAACAAATAAAATTTCTTTTTTTTCTTTTTGTGTAAGGTGCTGGTGCAACATTATTAACAATGCCATTAGATGTTATGAAAACGCGTTTAATGAATGCACCACCAGGAACATATAATTCATTACTTGATTGTTTTGCAGATATTATCAAAGTTGGTCCAGCTGGACTTTTTAAAGGATTTATACCAGCTTTTATACGTCTTGGTAAGATTTAAAAAAAAATGTTTTTTTTTGTTTTGATTATAATAAATAATATTTTATTTTATTTAAGGTCCACATACAATATTAATGTTTATCTTTCTTGAACAACTTAAACAAAATTTTGGTTATATTAAGAGAGATAAACAATGATTTATTTATTTAATTGAGAATTTATAAAAACAATTTTAAATCAATATTAACTATATCCAGCTCAACATATCCACGCTTTATTTAAATGCTTTTTTTCCGCACATTTAATGTAGCATTATTGTTTGTGAAAATTAATATTGATGTTTCTTTTTTTTTTAATCTTTGTTACTTATTTGTATCCCTTCCTTTCCATTATCATTGGGAATATAAATTTACAAACATATTTCATTTTATGTTTTCTTATACTTTTATTTTATTAACAAAACAAATATTATCTTTTTATTATTAATTTACATAAACAGGTTGAAACAAATATTCTCATTCAAAATCAAACTTAACAACATCTTATAGAAAAAAAAACAAGCAACAGCTAAAAAATGTTATATTTTTTAGTGAATTTGTTAGACAGTTGGGTATATCGTTAAATATTAGATCCCAATTGATATTATAGTTAAATTATAAAAAAGATACGTTTAAGACAACTAATAGTATGAAATGATTCGAGTCTATCAAGTTTAGTGTCGAGATGTAACAATATTAGATGTTATTTAGAGAAAAAGGCCAAATTTTGTTTTAACTTATCTTTATTTTTTGATAATAAGATAAATTTTGTTTTTCAAATGAATATACATATATCAAATTGGTTTAAATAGAAATATTTTATCTGTTAACCGTTGAAAAACTAGAGAAGATAATATGAAAAGAATGTTGTTTATTTGTTCTATACAAAATAAAATCTTTCCCAATAAAGATGATCTATTCGAATCGATTTTTCTCCCGATATAAGTAAAATATGGTCTTAAATAACTTTCAATAATAAATAGATTTTTAATTGATAAGAACAAATTTAAAAAGTAACTATTAGAAACATATAATAAATGTAATATTATGATAAGAATAATTATATTTAATGATATTATTTCTTTTCTGATGATCTTTTTATCGAAATTTGACATATAAAAAAAAAATTGTTTTAATTGAAAAATAAAAATCGATGAATTATTTTGAAAATAAAAAAAGAAAATCTAATTTTAGAAAATGAAAAAATCAAGTAGAAAAAAATCTTCATCATCAACATCATGTTCAACAATTGTTCCTGTTCCTGTTAATGTTAATCCATCATGTTCAACATATGATTTAGAATTATTAAGTTTATATAGTCATGAACAAGTTCATATATATGATAAACTTTGTTCAACAATATCATCAAATTGTGAAATAGCATATTCAACATCTGAAGGTATAACAATATCTGTACCAGAAAGTTATCAACGAGAATCTTCATCTTATGAATATGTCTCATCATCATCATTATCATCAATGATTGTTACACGAATAATATATCCATATGAAACAAATGAACAAAATAATTCTATATCAATTAATTCAACATCATTTTTTATATTTGAAAAATTAAAAAATAAATATTTATTTAATCTTTATAAATCATATATAAATAATCCAAAATCTTTATCATCATTTGATCGTTTACTTTCTAATGATACAACTAAATATAAAGGTTTTCGTCGATGTTTATTTTCACCATATGATATTAGATTAAATCAAGGTCAATCAATATTAGCAACGATAACATCTGCACATGAAGTTTTTATTTATGAAATTATTTCATCATCAAAACGTTTTTTTCATTCAAAATCATCTGATTTTAAAATTGATTTAACTAAATATTTATTTGAAAATATTCAATTAGAAGATTATTTAATTGATTCAAATAATTCAAATGATTATCGTTTACTTTATTTTCATTTAACATCATCCATTTTATGGAATAAAAATGGAACTTTTTTTTTTCAACTTCAATATTCAGGTCATATTATTATTTGGAATTTTCATGGATTTTCGATTTTAAATCAAAAACCTTTATATATAATTGATACAAAAATTTCTAAACCATTAACAATGACATGGAATGAATCATCTCAAATATTATTTATTAGTGGAAAAGAAAATCAACGTCTTTTTATTAAATTAGATAAAATGAAATTATTTTATATTAATATCAATCATAATGATTATATCAATGTAGAACATTCAATTTTAATTCAATCAAATCAAAATACACTTATTTTAATTGAAAGTAAAATCAATTATTGTTTCATTTATACCATTGATATTCATGATGATCAGGTAATATTTACATATAGACTTGGATATTATATTATTACAGAGCGGGGGAGAGGAAAGTAGTGCTATGATTTCAAATAGGATCTACAACGAATTTTATACGAAATTAAAGTTCGTGAAAAATATGAATTAGGAGTATAATTGGTCATCCATACCTTTATAATAAAACATGCTTGTCTGTTCGTCTGTTACCAGGTCAAAAGTTAAAGATTGAATAAAGCTATAGGGGATAAGGCTATAAGAGGATAAGGAACTAAGGCAATAAGGGAATAGGGCTCTAATGGAGGAAAGCTATAAGAAGGTATGGCCACAAGAGCTACAAGAAATATAAGACTGTAAGACTACATGGACTATTAACGATCTTAGGATATCACACCGTAGGGCTTCTATGCACATAATATTTAGTGTCTGTGTGTCTGTTAACAAGTGAAAGATTAAAGTTTTGAGGTCATACGTTAAAGAAAAGAAAGCTTCCGTGTAGTATGCACGGGTTTCTACTAGTTAATAATATGATAATGGACCATAGAATTGTGAAAAGTTTAAAATTTTCGATACATAATTGGATATTTCCACAAATAGTCAACCACTGAAAAATATCAGGTTTTTTTCGCATAGAACTCCTTTTGTTGATCATTTTGGTAAAAAAGAAGTTTTTATTTTATTAATAAATAATGATGCTAGGGTCAATATACTCATAAACATATCAACCACAGCAGATTGAGATTGTCGGCATTTTGACCTTACCATCGTCATTTTTATTGATAGAATTTTAAAAATCTTTTTACCAAAATGATCAACGAAGAGAGCTCTATACGAAAAAAAACCTTGTTTTTGTGATTGACTATCTGTAGAAATATTCTATTATGTATTGAAAATTTGAAACTTTCCCTAATTCTATAGACTACTATCATATTATCAATGGCCAATTATACTTCTAAATACTGTAAAACATCCCATAGTGGACACCTCGTTATAATGAACGTTTTCTGACTCGACCAGACGATTTTTGCTGCAAGTGAACCTCCATATAGTGGACACTAGTTAGCAATTCAAAGAAAATGTTGCAATAACTACCATCGATCATACAGTACAATTGACTCTTCTTTATTTATCAGACGGCGGAATGAACAAAAGATACATCTTAGTTGTAGAAAAAGAACATGTCCGTCATGTTAAGTATAGAAGACAGGTATATATATAGTCACATTGGAACATTTGTGTCATTTTGTTACTATCATTAAGGAAAAGAGAACATTATGTCGAATCAGTGAGATTTGACTCGGGAACAAAAGACTGCAATAATCAAAGACAATCAAAATAGTCGTGGGTTATCAATATGAAAACTGGCCGACAAATAGAATGTATCAAAAACTAGTGTAAAAAAGATTCTTCATCGTTGAGACGAATTCTTCTCTGATCATGACTCCAACTAGAACAAAAATATAAAACGAAAGCATAACAATAAAAATAGTTAAAGTATCGAACAACTCGTCTTCGAATGGTTTACTGTGGAACGATTCAAGCAGATCGCCGTTTCAGAAGATATTCTACAAGAAGAGCAAGGCAATCTGCCGAAGAGTTGGGACATCCATCAGGTATATTCAAAGCTTCAAATAGCTGACTAGAGAAGTTTCGTATTCCCCATGGTATCTCCTTTCGAATGATTTGTAATGAAAGCGCTTCTATCGACAATTCTATCACAGAATAATGGATAAAAAGATTACCCACAATACACAGAATGTATGAAAACAGAATTAATAATTTGATTTATCCAATTATCTTATTCACTAATACTTCAGATGTCTAGAAAGGTGTCTACTTCTTCGAAAAAGACGTTGTTCTTGAAAAACACTTGATCTCCTCATAGTGGACACTTTTGAAAGGTCCGAAGGGTGCCCACTATAGAGAGGTTTTACTCTACCATTTTTCACGAAGTCTCATGTCGTTTAAAACTGATTGTAAATGCTATTTGAAATCATAACACTATCCCCTTCCTATGAAATAAGATTATTTCCAACCCTTTAAAAACAAACACTTAGGTCTTTTCTCAAATTCTTCTTAATTATAACTGTTTCTCAAAGGTCCATAACTGAATTAAAAAAAGACACATATAGTCTTCTACAGAGATAGTCACACACTTGAACTGTCATATCGGACAAAGCAAATAATACTGCCTGATTAACTTTTCGTTCGAAAGAATCATTTGAGAAAGATTTTCTGAAAAAAAATCGTTGGAATAATGCGTTGGATAGATATTTACTCGTACCAACCGACAAGTCATTAGTTACAGATAATTTATTTGAATATTAGAAAAATCTCACTATATTCTTTATCAATGAGCATCGTTGTGTCTTTCTATATTCTATAATCTTTACAAACTAACGGATGGCTCGAAAATTTTCAGAAAAAATGTTTCTTCATAAAGCTATGGAATTTTGCACTCTTTTTTAATACGGACTTAGAAATTTTTTGTCAGTTTTTGTTTAAGAACAGTCAAGAAATCTTTGAAAGGCTTTAAAGACTAATTTAGATAGCGTATAAACTAGTTTTTGCTAACCCATATATGTTCGTTTGTGAAAGTGCTAAAAGTTATCGGACACAATAGTTTTGTAGAATGAACACTTCTTTACAAAATGTGATATCGAATTAACTTGTAGCTTTCACAGAAGAGGAGTTATATGTATTTTGTCGGGAGTTCCTTTTTGTGTAAAATGCCTTTTGGTCAAAATGTCGATTTCTCAAAAGTGAGGGTGTAGGAAAAACGAAAATTGAGATGACTTACCTAACGACCAAAAAACAATAAAATGGTACATTCTCTAGTTTAATGCTCATTGACCGTTATACTTCACTTGTTCTATGTTATATTCTCTATGTATCGTGCCCGCTTTATCCATCACTGATCTTTTGTCTTTATCTCTATTCTCTCATGTGTGACTGCTTTGACTTCTGTCTGTATCTATATAATGCACGTGTATAGAGAGAGAAGATACACTTGGATTGCTGATCCAACCAAATAAACGTCATGCCGAATGGCACAGACAAGCATTCATCCTCACTTGTCATTACATGTAGGACAGATTTTTCTCTGCTAGCTGATAGAGTAATAAAGGTTCCAACTTCTACTTTCGAATTGTAACAGTTAAAACATAGAAAAGTGCGAAAAATTTCCTGTCCAAATTAATTTTTTAGCCTTTCAAAGATTTTTTTTCACTCCTCTCGAATAAATATTGACACAAAATTTCTAAGTCCATATTAAAAAAGAACACAAAATTCTGTTTCTAATCCATAGGTTTCGACTCGTCTGAAATACTTTCAACTAGGCCAAAAATTAGCAAACATTTTGTCCGAAAACTTTCGGCTCACCCGTCAATAACATATTCTACAATCTATATCAGTAGCGTAGCCAACAATACGACCATTGGATAATTGTTCACAAATTCAAAAGGAATTGCCGATGGATTTTTTTAAAAATGATTTCAATTGGTCAATGACGAAAAAGCTTGATATCCGTAGATGTAAAATGAGTGAAATAGTGTCATATTAATATTACGATATAATCAAGTGATTGAGTAAGATCCATTGACTATGCTTTTCATTAAACCGATACTCACAATTCAATGGGATTTTTTGTCGAAATAATGATTATTTCAGTTAAGTTCGTTAATGTTTTTACATGTGCTTATTTATGTATTTTTGACATAATATATTAATTATATTTGAAAATTGATGAATACATTTATGATAAAGTATTAAATAGAGATGTCCATACCAGCGGCACCATTTTGTTTTTTCAAGAACATTGAAAAAGTCCATGAATTTAACAGAATTTCAGTGTTTACAAATGAAACACCCTAAGACTCAATAAATCTGATGTATTAGTAGCAATATTTCTGGTCAACTAGAGTCGCAGCAGTGAAATTAGAAACACTTTTTTGAAAACCATCGCGGCAACGGCAGATTCTCAGCTGCGATGGACATCTCTAGTATAAAAAAGCGAACAAGCTCGCCTATTACTTGAGAATAACGAACTTCTCTTCAACAAACAGGAGTTTTTCTGATGAGAAAAAGTTTTAAAGAAATGTAGCCCAATTGATTTTTAATTCTCCATTATTGACCACTTCTCAATAGAATTTCGCTGTGAAACAATCAATCACTTAAAAACTTCTTGCTACTATAGATGGAATCGATGTAAAAATTTCAGACTGGCACCGGCACTGGTCCAAAATTTCTAGATCGGACCAGCCGGTCTACCAGCAATATACTGATCTACAGGCAACAGACCGAGTCTTAAAATGAAATCTCGCGTCCATAGTGAACTGTTTTGAGTTAAATTGTTAGGTTGCCGCATATTGGCACAATGGTTCACTATTAACAAGAATGGTTTCATTGATACCGTTCTATAAACTATTTGTTAAACTAATTGTTGTGTGATAAGCGAGATTAGGATTAGTTTTTAATATGGATACAGTCATAGATGAGAATAGTGAAAAATGTCGACTAGTATAGATCGATACGAGTTCCATCTATGGTTGCTACGGCATTGTTCCTAAAAGTGAAAATTTCTAGTTATGAACATAATTCTTTATTAATTTATTTTTCGAATCATTCGAGTTTTTATATAATGAAATTGTATGAAAAATATTTTTATAAATCAATTTCTATAAAATGTAAATAAAAATATATTGTAGTGTTCAAGTTATGATTGTAATGAAATTGGTAATCGTATTCTTCCATCATCTATAGTTGGTTTTCAAGAAGAAAAAAGTTCAATATTAGAAAATGATCTATCAATATTAATTGGTTGTGAAGATGGTACAATGCATTCTTTAATAATATCTGTTAAATTTCCAATAAGAATAATTGATATAAAATTAGTTGCTAATGGTCAAATAAAATCTTGTTGTCGTAAACCATTAATTCTTCGTCATTTTAATTTATCATTAAATGAATATATTCTTGAAAGAATATATTATTCACCAATTGTTGCACCTAATGTTAAATTTGGTTTTGTTATTTGTACATTACATCGTTGGTTATCAAATAAAATAATATCATTAGATAAAATAATTGAACATTTTTTAGAACGAATTAATATTCCATTATGGTCTTCATCTGATGAACTTGTTATTCTATTAAATGAATTAAAACGTAATAAAACAAATGATAAACAAATTAAAAAAAATTCAAATTCAAATTTAAATAATAATTATATTTATCTTCAACGATTATGTCGTTTATATAGTTTATTAAATAATAGAAAAGAATTAAATATCTATGAAAATCAATTATTAGAATCTTATCGTAATCGATTATCAATTATACTAAATAAAATTTTTTCAAATATTATTGATAAACTTTCACAAATTGAATTATTTATTTATAAAATTTGTTCAAAAGATGATCAAACAATATCATCTAATTTATTTCTGTGTCCAATATGTAATAATCCATTAATAATAACAAAAGATGATCTATTAAATTGTCAATGTTCTAATAAACATGTTTGGCCTCGATGTTCAACAACACTTTTACCATTATATTTTGATTCAGCTCAAACATGTTCATTATGTGATAGAACAATAACTCTTATTCAAACAAATGATCAAAATTATAACAATTTTATAGAATATAAAGATAAACAATTAGACTTTTTTTTTTCATCTATATGTACTTTTTGTATGTAACACATTACAAAACAATAACACAAATATTTATTCTCACACTATTCTTTTTTCACAATTTTCATATCTTACAAATTTCATCATTTTATAGGATTTATCAAACATCGAAATTGGACCACTTTTTAATGGCCTGCCCGAGGAAAATTTCGTTTAGAAAGATTTTTTTACTCAATGAAGAGCTATTGCATATTTTTCGTCTTTTAGAGAAAAGTAATGACTGGGGATAGGGCGGAAACTTCCCCCTATTCTCTTCAGGGGTGAGTCAGATGTGAAAAAAAGATCAAATCGTCGGGCCGGACCGGGTGGTTTATTTCGAGGCCTACCATTCATATCAGCAAGATTTTCAAATTTAAATTATTAAATAAGTTTTCATTTGAACTCAACATTTTTTTCTGAAATATATTTATTTAGAAATAAACAAGATTTTTTTTTAAGAATATTAAACAAACGGTGAAGTCCGAAAAGGATAATCAATTACATATATTCATTTTCATCTTTTTTTTTTTTTTTTATAAAAAATTGAATTAAATTAGAGTATTGATCAAAAATATAAGGACAAGATTGTTTACATATTATTCTAGAATAGGAATCATTCAACTCAAATCGAAATAATCGTTTCAATAATCAATAAAGTTCTTTATCAAAAACATTTCTTATTTCAATTTCATAGATAGAATATTAGAGGAAACTTTCTCAAAAAAGGAAATACACTAGTTTTCACATTTTGGAAGATTGTGTAAAAACTAGTTTTAAAGAGTACAATCTTCAAGAGCATAACATACCGAATAAAACGATAGATCGCTGTATTTCTCATAATCTTCCCTAAACAAGTTATCAGCATGACAAAATATAAAAAATAAGGCGAAATTTATCATTTTTGTGATGGTGATTACTTTTTAAAAGAAGGTACGACAAGCTCGTATTTTATTAATAGTTTTTATTCTCTTGAAGAAGATTATATTCTTCACAGTCTTTAGAAATGTGAAATCTACTTTATTTCATTTTTGAATAAGGTTTCTTTCATATTTTATCTATGAAATTTCGGTATGAAGTCATTAGTGTATGTCGAATAGATATTCAATTATAATTTAATTCAATTAAAAAGTTCGAAAAAAAAGAATAATATTGTTGAAAAAATATATAAAATATGTTGATATAATAAATAATTTGATAAAGGACGCCATCTGTATATGTCTCTATATGATTGGAAATTTATTTATAATATACAAAATAAATAAGACATAAACGATGTCTTTGTCACGAATCAATGAAAAAAAATGTTAATGGTTAATTATTAATAAAAAAATAAGATAATGTTGGTTAAATTGACATATTTATTTATTTTTCTAATTGAAATATTCTGTGTTAGTTGTTCTTCACCATGTTCATTAAGATGTTTTAATCAAAGTGAAATATCTCCAAAAGCTCCACCTATTTATATAAATGATACAAAAATAGAGGAATTATTATTATTTGAAATAAATTGTACTAGTAATGATAGTCTTATCTATGCAAATGTTTCAATAACAATTGATAATAAACGTTCAATTGAAATAAAAAATAATTTACCATTAGATCTTATTAAATTTAATGATCAATCACAAAATTTAACATTTTATTTAACAATTCATGGAAATTTACTTGGTTATAGTCAAATTAAATTATATGTTGAATATTTAAATCAAGAAAAAGATAAATATAATTATACAGATTATCTTACTATTGATATAGCTGTTAAAAGAAAAACAACAGTACTTGATACTATATTTACAGTTATTATTATTATACTTGTTTGTATTGGAACATTTTTAATTGGTTGTCGACTTGTTCTACAAAATCTTTATGCTAATATACGACGACCTATTCCTTTACTTATTGGACTTTTCAGTCAATTTTTATGTTTACCTTTAGTAACAATAATACAAAAACACAATCAAATTAAATCCTAGAAAAATTTTTGTTATTTCTATTATAGTTAGCTTATGGTTTAGCTAAAATGGCTAAACTTGATTCATCAACAGCAATTGGTTTATTATCAACAGGTTCATCACCAGGCGGTGGTGCATCGAATATGTATACAGCTATGTATGGGGGAGATATTGATTTATCAGCTTCAATGACATTTACTAGTACAATTCTTGCTTTTGGTTCGTTTGCTTTTTTTGTTGAAGTTTTTTCTCTTTTTTAACATATTTTATTTAATCAAGGTACATTTCCAGTATGGATACTTTTATTGGGTAAAGAATTTATCAATACACATAATGTACATTTTCCGTATGTTAAATATTCTTTTTTTTTTGTTGTTGTTTGATTATATTGATTTATGTTATTATTTAAAGATGGGAAAATATGTTTGTTACACTTATTTCTCTTGTTATACCAGCTGGTAAAACATTTCGAAGAAAAAAAAAACAAATTATTTTTATAATTTTTTTGTTTAATTAAAGGAATCGGTTTGTTAGTTCGTTGGAAAAGACCAATAATTGCTGATCGTTTTACAAAATTTCTTCGTGTTTTAACAATATTCTTTATATTATATATCTTAACATTTGGTATTTATACAAATGTTTATGTATTTAAATTAATTGATTATAAAACAATAATTGTTAGTACTCTTTTACCTTATATCGGTTTTCTTATTGGATTTATAATGTCATTAATAACAAGACAAAGTTGGGAACGTCTTATTGCTATTTTTATTGAAAGCGGTATGTAGAAGTCTGTTAAGATTTATTTTAATATGAGATTGAAATAAATTCATAATAGAAATAATATTATTTAAGACGGATGATTAATAATCTCTAATAAAGATAAAAATAACAGATGTCGTCACTGAATGAAAATAACTTTATTTATTAATTGATTTCAAGACACAATTTGACTTATCAGTATAAATAAAATAACATTTTCAAAGAAATTTTTTCTTGAAAATTTTTAAGTCAATTTTTTATTTGTTCTCCGATATGATGTAATATGACAAGAAGAATTACGGTTTTTCTTTTGAAAAAAAAGTACTCATTTACCTTTTTCTAACTTATAACTAAAAAGGAAGAAAAAAAAAGATGAGTCGGTCATGCATGCATCCATTACTTTTTTTCATCCTGTGCAAAAATTTATTACAGAAAAAAAAACTGAAATTCTACTATGATTGTTAAGCTTGTTTCTGTAAAGAGTTATCACCAATACATTAGGGTAATGCACTCAGCGCTTGGTAGCACATTGATCTATTCTTTTTTTTTTGAGCTCCTTAAAAAAGCAGATATTTATAAATGAATATATAATTCTATAATATTTTTCTTTTTAAAGGGTTACAAAATACGGGTGTAGCTATATTCTTTCTTCGTTTGTCACTACCTGAACCTGATCGTGATTTGGCTATAGTTGTACCAATATTTGTATGTATTATAATTATATATAAATAGTTCTATATAATAATAATTAATCTTATCTATAGGTTGCAATAGCAATTCCAATTCCTCTATTAATAATCTATAGTTTTATTCTTATTTATCGATCAATTAAAAAGCGAAATGAAACAAATAATATAATAACAGATATAAATAATCAACGTGATAGATCGGATTATGAAGTAATGGTTAATAGTGACAATGAGCAATAAAGACAAATATTTACCTTGTTTTTTCTTTCTGTCAATCCTTAATATAGAAAATGTCAATCCTTTATATAGAAAAAAGAAAAAATATGTTTTTTTGTGCTTTTTGTTTCCCTTTTATATTTCAGATGATATTGAATAAATGAAGAGAATAATTCTATATTGTTTTATTCTATTATTAAATAGTATTATTAATCTTGCTTGTAATATTCAATTTGATAATATTGATAACTTGAATATATATCGTAATGTCTATGAACGACATATATTTAATATAAGTGGTCAACTTCAATATTGTCCATCATCATTAATTATACGAAATATTTCATTATCAAATCCAATACTTAAACGTTTAAGTATTTTAAATGTAACATTTTTTATTCAAACAAATCGTATTAATATAACAGGACTTGCTCGATTAGTTGGTTTTGCACCAGTAACAATTCAACTTTATTTTCAACATGATATTGATCATAGGTAAATTTCATTTCTTATTCTTAAATAACGGGTGCGTCAGATATAATGACCGGCCTTTGCATTTCAATTTCCATTCATTTAATATATTCTATTAAAAAAACAAACAAAATATACAAGCACAAGATGTAGCGTGAAAAGCTCTACAATCTACACAGTAAAGCTTTTTGTAATTGTGTTCAAAAAAAAAAGGAAAATTTTGTACGACCGATTTTCTCACGGTCAAAATTGGTTCGCTCAAAATTTGACTCATTTTCAAAATCCAAAAGTCAAGTATAAATTAAGCGATCTCGTGTAAATTGTAGAAGTTTTAACGCTGCATGTTATGGTTGTATATATTGTTTTTTAAAAGAATATATTAAGTGAATGAAAATTGAAATGTAAACCGGGGTCATTATATCTGTCCGAACTATTAATCAATATACAAAAACCAACTTAGATCAATTGAATATTCAATAAAAAATGCAACTAATCAACAAAAACAATGTGGAAAATTATCATCATCAGATCGTAATGAAATTCTTGAAAATTGTCCAATGATTAAATTTGAAGATGGTTATTATATATTAAAACAAACAATAAATGTAGCTGTAAAACGACGTCAAACAATAATTGATATATTATTTACTTCTGTTGTTATGTTTCTTGTTACAGCTGGTACATTATGTATTGGATGTGGTTTAGAAATCGAACAATTACTCAATAATTTTAAACGACCAATACCATTAATTGTTGGTCTTGCTTGTCAAATTATTTATTTACCATTATTAGCATTTGCTATTAAAAAAATTTTTCAATTAGATAATTCAACAAGTTTAGGTTTAATTTCAACAGCATCTAGTCCAGGTTAGATTTACAACTTTTTTTCAATTCAACTAGAAATCAGAGACGTGCACCGACCGCGCATGCACTCCTTCCAACAGTTGGAACTGAATCGATTATAAAAAATCTGTCCGCTTCCATTTCTGGTCCTTCCTATACCCTAATGGAAAGTATCACTCATATCGGAGCGGTCGTTCCACTACTAGACGAAAAAGCTTTTGGTGGAGTGCTCACCGGCGGCCCTTGCATGGTATACATCTCTGCTACAAATGATAACGAGTTTTATAGATATTAAAAAACAAAATCAAGAAATAAAACATAAATAAAACAAGATTTATAGTTTGCATAGATATTGTCAAGATCATTCTGATCATGTCAAATTCTATATATCTTTTATCAAATAGGATTTCTGTATTATACTCTATTGGAAAATTTCATAGAAATTTTATTATATAAATAAAAACAATATTTGCTGGTAGAATTCTAATAGGAAGATTAATCATTTCTTTTTTTTGTTCGTAAACAAGAGACTTGTCAAACATATGATTGAATCTACGAAGAGTTATCTTAAGATTATGGGTCAAAATTTAACTTTTTCTGCATTCCAAATATCTCCGTCATTCCAAATCCTAGAAAGGTCGAGCTATGCGCTACAACTTAACAGAGTCCAATTTTCTGATATTCTCTTAGCTTGTGTTTTTAGAAAACTTCTCTGATGATATATGAAAAAGGTAAGGAGTGCTGGCCTATAACAATTATATTAATAGGGAAATCGAAAAATTCAGCTGTGTTATAAGTTGTTAAGCTAATTTTTGCCTTCATTTTGATACCAAATCCACCTTTCTACCAATTAAAATGGCAAAAAAACGTTATTTTCTTCTATAGAAGGTTGAGAAAAACCTATGTTATATCCTTAAATCTAATCATAGAATCAATAAACTATAGTTGATAGATTCCTCTATCTAATCAGTTAGAAATCGACAAATTTGATAAAAACTGACTTTTGTTTGTGGATAGGCCCCTTAAAATAAAGTTGTGAGCCTTCAACAGAGAGAATATTAAAGATCATACCGGTCATATTAAATATCTCGAGCTTATTGATACTGATAGAAAATCTCTTACTAAATATCAAATGAGAAGCGTCGTGACTTAAAACGATTAATCTCGGTTATGTCCTTTTTTGTATGGTATGAAGATAGAAATGAGATTTAGAGTTGTAACTAACTAATTCTGTCTTCTATTTTGATTAATAATTTGTTTTGGATAATATCGATTTTCTTATAAGAATGTTTGATTTGTTAGTTTCGAATAAAATATAATATATCGATATGAAATTAACTTCCTGAACAAAATCAAAAGGTGATCAACATATATCTTTATCAATTATTTCAGTTAAAAAAATGAATCATTGATTGAAATAAAATAAAAACTAAAATATGAAAAACTAATTTATTAAGGTGGTGGTTCATCAAATATATATACAGCATTACTTCGTGGTGATGTTGATTTATCAGTAACATTAACATTTCTATCAACAATATTAGCATTTGGTACATTTCCATTGTGGATACGGCTTCTTGGAGATCGTATAATTGATTTTAAAAAAGTTAAATTTCCATGGTGGAATATGTCAATATCATTATTATCATTATGTTTACCAGCAATAATTGGACTTTTACTTCGTCGTTATCGACCAGTTTTAGCTCATCGTATTGGGAGATTTCTTAATCCTATTGCTTTTGGTTAATATTTATAAATTTTCAGTTATTTTAATTTTTTAATTTTTTAATTTTTTGTTTTTGTTTAGGTTATCTCGTGTTTATTCTTACATTTGGAGGTAAAAAAAAAAAGAAAAAGTAAAATGTAAATATGATAAAAAATGTTTTGTTTTAGTTTATATAAATATGTATATATTTTATATAATTGATATAAAATCCATAATGACATGTTGTTTTTTACCATGGTTTGGTTTTATAGGTGGTTCAGTTATATCATTAATAACAGTTGGTGATAAAAAGAAAATAATAGCTATTTGTATTGAAACAGGTATTCAAAATACAGGTGTAGCTATTGTTTTTCTTCGTTTAACATTTCCTCAACCTGAATCAGATGTTGCATTAGCAAATCCAATACTTGTTTCAATGGCAATACCAATACCATTTATTATTTTAGTTTTAACAAGATCAATTATGAATAGATTTAGTTTTTGTCAAAAATTTTTACCAGGAAAACACGAAAAAAAGATTGAAGAAAAAGAAAAACCAGAAAAAACTCTTATTAAACAATTATTAAATGAAACAACAAATGAAGATAAACAAGAACAAGATCAACAAATTCATCGTCAGATAGATAATCAATCTTCATAAAACAAATATTCAAACATTTTGCTTTTTTCTTGTTGTTTTTATGCATAATTATTGTACTTTATATCTATTAAACGGATTTTAATTCGTTTATTTTCACTGAAATTTAATCAAATAGATAGTGACATTCATCTTATATATTTCAATTGAAAAAATAAAGAATAAATTTAGGCACAATAATTGATTAAAATTGAAAGAAATAAAAGTTCAACATTCGAATAATATTGATAAAATAATGATATTATGGTGGACTTGTAACAAGACCAGCTACACCTCGACCTAATTGTTGACCAGCCACTGTACTTTCTAATGGTTTAAAACCAATTTCTTCAATTGGAATACCAAATTGTCGTAATTTAGCTTCATATGTTCGTAATATATCATTATGAGCTTTACAAACACGAGCCAATTCATATTGTAAATCACGAATCTATACAAATATAATCAATTTATCTTTTCTTTTTTCTTTTTTCTTTTTTATTCAACTTTCGTATATCACTTTAAAATGTGTTTATGCTAATTATCTGTGTTGTGTATCTCATCATCGAAAAGTGAGATCATCAAAACGAATATTATTGGAAAGGAAGATCGCTGAAATGAACATTATCGAAATAAAGATCGTCAAATATCTTTCAGTAATCTATATTCGTCAGCTTCGTTTCGTTGATATAATAGAAAATGGATCTTAAAAATTTTAGTTTTAACTTCTAATTGATGATTAGATTTTAAATTTCAAGTTCCAATGGATGAGTTTCATAAAGCTGACATCAATATAAAACATTTTTTAAAAATTTTTATTCAAAATAAGTTCTCAAGGATAAATTTAGACTTACGAGTAAATATCTCAATCTTATTAAAAAACTTTTGGATTCGGACTTGTTTTATCTTGTAGATCCTAGTCAGTAGTCAAATACTACTCCAAATTGATTCATCCTCTTATTGCTTTGGAAGGGAGCTATTACCGGTTTACTCACTTTTTTTCACCTATGGAACCATTTCAATAGCAGAAGTAAATAAGTCACTTTGGATCTGAAATTATCTCCATAAAGAGATCTTATGAAGACTAGAATATCATAGAACGTTTCAGAGAAAATGAAAAGATCTTTTTTGAGATAGTCAATGTTCAAAAATCGACTATTTATCGCACGAAACGAAAATTTATCTTATAAGTCAGTCGTTTTTTGAACATCCACTATCTCAATAAGGATGCATTCGTTTTCTCTGAAACGTTCGATGATATTCTAATGTTCATAAGAGTTCTTTATGGAGAATATTTCAGATCCAAAGTGACTTATTTACTTCTGCTACTGATATGGTTCGATAGGTGAAAAAAAACTAGTAAACCGGTAATAACTCCCTACCAAAGCAATAAGAGAATGAATCAAGTTGGGATATTTAATAACTGACTAGGATCTACAAGATAAAATGAGTCCGAATCCAAAATGTTTTTATCACATTGAGATATATCCTCCTTAGATTATCGATTGTTTACCATTGCTAATTATAAGTCTATGAACAAAAACAAAAATGTTCGATTCGTTAATTTAATATAGAAACAATATGAGATTGATTGATATGAATCTCGAGTCACTTCTAAAATGATTCAACCAAGTTGATTTTCAATTTTTTTTCACTATCGTAAACCCTAAGAAGGATCGAAATAGGAATTATTAATTGAAAATTTTTAAAGATAAAAGTGTTTTATAGTTTTTCGAGAATAAAGAATCCATAAAAAAAAACTAACGTTCTTCATCTGATACAATTTGCAATTAGAATTCTGTTTGAATTAGCTAGAATGATAGAGCAAACAATTCTCTAAATAACGAAATGTCTTTCAGCTTTTCAAAAAGTTGATGCGTCTTAATAAAGAACTCATTATGGAAAGGTGAAAAACGTTTTTATTTTATAGAATATTGTTTGTTCTATTATTCTATGTAATTCAAATATAAATATTTGTAGTTAATGTACTTAGGGTTATCCAAAAGTAGTGGGCCAGGTTCTTTTTTTTCTTATAAATAGCTAAAAAGAAATTTCTTTTTTTACGAATAGATAGAGCGTCTTTCGCTCTATCTTTCTATGCTATTTGATCACTATTCAACTGGTATCATAATAATAAAATTCCGACAAAAACATTTTTAGTGCAACTCTAGCTGGTAGCAATAGTGCATATTATCATTCATGCGTGTTTTCATCATCTAATAGGTTTTATTAAAAAACAAAATACAGCACAAGATGCAGCGTGAAAAGCTCTACAATTTACAAAAAACAGTTTATTTTAATTGCGTACTTTTTGTTTTCAAAAAAAGCTAAATTCTGTGCGACCAGTTTTCGCCGTTGCAAAAAAATCATTTTTTTTCTACACAAAAGAGAAATTTCTTTTTTCTTATTTCATATTTTTATCATCTAATACGTTTTATTAAAAACGAGATATACCACAAGATGCAGCGTGAAAAGCTCTACAATTTACATAGTAAAGCTTATTGTAATTGTTTTAAAAAAAAGCAAAATTCTGTGCTACCAATTTTCGCACGGTCAAAATTTGGTCGCTCAAAGTTTTGTCCAATTTGAAAACAAAAAGTGCAACTATAAAAAAAGTGGTCGTATGTAAATTGTAGAGCTTTTTACGCTGCATCTTGTGCTGTATTTTGTTTTTTAATAAAACCTATTAGATGATGAGAAAAAAACAAAGAAAACACGCATGGATGATAATATGCACTATTGCTACCAGCTGGAGTTACACAAAAATAGTTCTTATCGAAATTTTATTATTATGATACCAGTTGAATAGTGATCAAATAGCATAGAAAGATAGAGCGAAAGACGCTCTATCTATTCGTAAAAAAAGAAATTTCTTTTTACCTATTTATAAGAAAAAAAAGAACCTGGCCCACTACTTTTGGATAACCCTAAGTATATCACTGTCCGACATGGGTCAGTTATTCGTAATCCAACTCTAGGTCTTATCCGACTCGCGTCGGACAGTGATGTATATTGAAGTAAATGGATAATATTATATTCGTATAAAAAGGTATTGAGTGTTATTTATAATAACTGTTCGATATAATGTCTAGGAAAAAGAAAATGTCTTACCGATGTATTTTTTGCATCAAGTACTTCCTAAAATAAATAAATTTGAATAATATAAAAGAAAAAGGTAAATAAAAAAAAAAAAGCAATACTTCAAGTTTTCTTGTAACAACAGAAAGTGAAGCTGGATCAAGATTGGATGCTGAAAGAACTTCATTAAGTTGAGCTTCTTTCTTTTCCAAAGTATCAGCTAGTGTACTTAATTTTTTTTCTAATAATAAATTCTTTAAACTACTCTTTTGTTGTACTTCATTTATTGCTTTTATAAATTTATTATAAAGATCATCACGTTCTTTTTGAATCTAAAAAAGTCACACAAAATAAAAAATAAAAAATAAAAAATTTTAACATACGATTTCAAATCGTTGTAATAAAACTTCATATTCCCATTTGGAATTTTTTAAATCAGTTTCACAATTTTTTAATTGACTTTTTTTACTCTAAATATAATTAAATAAGAAAGAGTTTTTTTGTTTTTATAAAATATAAAAATGAAATAAAAAAAGAAAACAAACTTCATATAAATTTTTAATTTTATCATAATTTTCTGCTCTTTTTCTTAATTCTTCCATTTCTTTTTTAGCAGCTTCAAGTGGTTCACGCATTTTTCGATTTTCATTTTCAAGTTCAATCATACGTTTTTCTAAACGTTCTTCTTCTTGTTTTTTCTTTTCAATTTCATTCTTAAAAAAAGAAATAAATCATAGATAGATAAAAATAAATAAATAAAAATTCAATAAAACTTTAAGTGTATTAATTAAATTAAGATTATTTAATGTAATATCATTATAATAATTTTTAATATCACTAAATGCTTTTTCATGATTACGTAAAAGATCATTTATTTGTTGATTTTTTCTTTCTTCAATTTCATGTATTTCAGTTTTACGACGTAATTCCATATCTTCTCGAAGATCATTTAATTTTTTTTCATATTTTTCTTCGATTTCACGAGATTGTCGAAGAAAATCCTCACGTAATTTTGATAGATATGATTCATTTGTCTATTTAATATATATATATTTGTTTTTTTAAATATGAAAATAATTAAAATTTATCAAACCTTTTTTAAATTTCTTATAACTTCTTGTTGAGCTAATTCTTGATCTTTCATTTCTACTTTAAGTTCTCGTTTTTCTTTCCACATTGTATTTTCTGAATCATTATGTGCTTCTTGAGCTACTTTTAATTCAGCTATTGTTTCAGCTTTTAATTCAGCTATATTATTTTGTTGTTCATAAAGTAAATGTTTTACTTTTTGTTTGTAAACCTATTTTTACATAAACAATTATTTAAACATCTTTCAAATTGTCTCAACTGATTGACAATTATCAATATATCATCTTATAAGAATATCTTTCCAATCAGAACGATTCGTTTTTATCCTTAACTTGATTAATATTTAAAAAGCAAGTATTCCCAGGATAATAATATCTACTAGTCAGACAAATAAGTTCGAGTCTTTCGGATTGTGTGCGCGTACACTGAAATAAGAATCATGTCAATAAGGAGTTTTTTTTAAAGATGTCTAAGTCTACTCTTGTTTATAATAGAATATTATAAAACAATTGAAAAATTCACTTGATTAGTATACAGTAAGTAAACATATATATTTCCATGAGAGTAACACTATGATTTCAAATACTATTCAGAATAAATTATATACCAAATTAAACCGCATCGAAAATCATATTTATTGATGCTAAATAATAAACAATATACCCATTTTATAGTGTCAAATTAAGAAAATTTCTAGAATTCGACGGTATATTGACATTGAAAAATTCTTTGCATAAGGTTGTCCAAATTAGATCTTATTTAAAAATGAGAATAACACACAATACTCGACACCTCGTCTGGAAATATTGAAAAAAAATGGTATCGGAGATGGAATACAATCATTACGATGAAGAAACTTTGAAAAACATATTTGAGATGTATTGACTAACATGGAAACAAAGATTGACTTATTTGAAACAATTTCATGTTCGTATCTGTCTTATCTTCGTGGTATAAACAAAACTAACAGTTATCGTACTGATTATTCCTCATATTTATTAAACATTAACAGGTAAATACTACTTTCCGATATTGATCATTTTAAATAAGATCTAATTTTAATTAGCTTATCAAAACAATTTTCAATGTCAATATCCCGTCAAATTCTAGAAATTTCCTCAATTCGACACTTTAAAATGATCACATTCTTTACTATTTAGCATCAATAAAGACCATTTTTGATTGACTTTAATTGGGTATAAAATTTGTTATGGATGCTATTTAAAATCATAGTGGTACTCCATGTGAAAAAATATTTAAAGGCACCCTATAGGTATATTATATTTGAAATGTGAGTAAAATAGTAATAAAGTTGAAAAATAAGTCTCCTAATAGATTATTTGTTGAGTATAATAAAAAAAAAAAATGAATAATACTTTAATTTCTGCTTGATGTTGTTCTTCAGCATCTTCTAATTCTCGATCTTTATTTCTTAATTCAGCTTTTTTTTCTTCAAGTTGTCGTTTAGTTATTTCCCAAAAAGTACTTATACGATCACGTTCAAGTTGAAAATAATTTCGTTCTTCACGTTCTCGATCTAATTCTTCACGAATACGACCTAAATGTTCTTCTAATTCTTCTTTTGTCATCTATATAAGTATTAAAAAAAAAACAAAATTTAATTATAAAATAAACAAATAAATTAAATGATCTATACCTCAGCAGCCGGACGGCCATCGATAATGGTCGGGGCTTTTGGAGATTTCTTTTTCTTCCCTTTCTTTGGAGCCTAAAATAAAATAAATATATTCTATATCAATAAATGACTAATTGATTGATTTTTTTTAGGAAAAACGAATCCTATTTTCGAATTTTTGTATATATGTCTTTATAGAAAACTTACCATAAGTAGAATTTGAAGAATAAATATGAATTATTAAAATTAGTCTATCGAAAAAAAGTGAAGTCTATGGTTGATCATTATTCTTGGTTGATAAGCAACAGCCTCTTTTTTTTTTGTCCTAGAGGTCATTAAACATCATTGGTTTAAATTTATTTGATAGACCCTAAACACACTCACACCAACGGTATCAAATGAATCCTTTTCTCTATAGGTTCTTTTATTTTTATACAACATTTATCTTTGTCATATATTGATGATAACTATTTATCTTCATTCTTCTTCGTTTTTTCTTTATTAATTATGTTATATATGGTTTATTAGACTTTATTTATATTAATTATTGTATTATTGAAATAAGTAATTTGATTTCCTTGGATGAAATCATTAGAGTATTATATTCAATCGAATAGTTAATCAATGGTTAGATTAAACAATAGTCGAACATTTTTATCTTTTTTATTTCAATAAAGTCAATCGTTGGTATAGTTGATGTATCGAATTGAGTTTTATCATATAACAAATTCTAGAAAAAGTCGTTTTTTCTTTCTATTTTCTCTTAAGATAGATTTCATCATAGAAGAATCCGATTGAAATCGGTTATTATTTACATTTTTATTAATCAATCGATGTTCTCGATTGATAAATATTTAATAAAACTTTGTTGTTTTTAGATGTTGAATTAATGAATAAATTGTTATCGATCATTTTTTATTAGTTGTTGACATTTTAGATTGGAAAACAAACTAAATAGGAGCTAAGCAAATGATGATTTCCTTTGAGTTTTTATTTATTGGTTTTATGTTGACCAGTTTATATAAACAAGAATAACTGATATAATGGTATGTCTTTACTTCAAATAATCATCAATTATTTCATTTTTCAATGAACTTTTTTTTTTCTTTTTCCAAGTTTTATTCAATTGATCGATAAAATCCATTTTAATATACGATTATACATATAAATAATAAATATTATTAAACAAATTCAATAAAGATTCTCTTTTTTTAGTCAAAGTTAGCATTAAATTTTTCATAAAAATCCAATCTCATTTACATTTTATGAAATAAAACTGAAAATGATAAGTTGATTGTCTATTAAGATATTGATCTATCGAATAGAGATATTATCAATATAATTGATCATTGATTAATATTGATTTTAAAATAAAAGAAGAATGAGTATTTTTCGAATAATATTTTATAGAAATTATATAGAGAACTGTGATTTTCACCATTTAAAAGAGAAAATGAAACTGCATCGAATCTTGAATAGAAATTTTTTTTGAAAAGTATTCTCAGAGACATTGATTAAGTCTTTTAAAAAATTGACACTTTTTTATAAGTCCTTTTCATCAAAAAAATCAGGAAAAAAGTCAGTTTTTCGTGGAAAATCTGCCGAAAGCGCTCAATAAAATAAAAATAACTCGTGATTTAACAGCGAAGTTCTATAGATAATTGAACTTTAGTTAACAATTGTGATAGACTAATATTTATTTAAATTCAAAAAATTTTACATTATTTTATGTTTTCTATTTTGGAAACTTGACGGGCGAACCTGAGAAAACTTCTCAGAAAAATCTGATATTCAAGATTTGATGCAGTTTCATATCCTCTTTTAAACGGTGAAAACTGCAGTTCTCTATATAATTTGTATCAGAAATGATCCCAAAACTAGTCGCCATCCTTTTAATTTGAGATCGATATTAGATATTAATAGCCTTTAGAATGACGGCAACTTTCAAAATCTCGCCAATATATTTGACGAATAAATGATGTTGTTATGATAAAATATTGTGTGGATTTTTGGTATGTATATCTGTCTAATGAGTATGTGACTTATTGGTGGATGATTTAGACACGAATCTGTTAATACTATTCGAGAAGTCGTGTGTTTTTTTTTGAAGAAGAAAAAAATGTAAAGAAAATATTTGATTGATGATTGTAAATAAGTTAATCTGTATGTGTGTCCTCGAAGGAAAATTCTTCTTTTGATCATTTGACTTGTTTGTGCGTTGTTATATATTGGAATGCCTTATTTATGTTTACGATAGTAGTTCAACGTCATTGACTATCATTAGAGAATAATATTTGCCTCCGTTCTTGTTTGTTGAACAAAATTATAGAAAACGTTCTCTTTCTTAAATTATATTTATTTAACATATGAGAATATATTTCCATTTATTTTTTTAAATTTCGAATATTAATCGATAAAAATATTAATTTTTAGATTAAAAAAAATGAATGAACGATCAGGTGAACAAGGTGATTTTCTTGCTGAAGCCCAATTAGCAATAAATGATGTTGGTGATGGAATTGTTGCTGAAAAAAACTTATCAAAACGTCTTAATAACCCTGATGATATGTCAACAGGTTATATTAATATAAAATCAAATTCAAATAAAGAATATTGTATTGAATTATCTCTAAAAGGTTATCGTATTGTTGGTTATCATTTTGATGATAATAATCAACCATCAAATATTTATTATGAATCATTACAAGCACTTTTAACTAATGAATCAAAATCTTATGTTAATAGTTTTGCTGAAAGTCTACAACAAAAACTTTTTGCAACAAAACATCAATTAGAACAGGATCAAGATAATGATGATGATGATGATGATGATAAAGATCACAATTCTAATAGTGATAAACAAAATAAAGAATAAAAGAAAAAAAAATGCAATTCATTATCCTAGTTTTTTTTGTGATGTATATCTTTTCATATTTAACAAGAATAATAAATAAAACTCATGGATTATTTTTCGTCTATTTTTTTTTAAAAATAATTATTCTAGATGGATCATCGAATAATATCTCCTATAGAAATGTATTCTGTTGCACGAAATAATACTAATTTTTATAAAAGTGTTGTTTTCTATCTTCGATTTAAAACATTATCATTTTCTCTTTCTCAATGGACGGAACGTATTGAAAAATGTTTACGTTTAACAATAAATGCACAACCTCGATTACGTTTACAAGTTGATCTTTCAAGAAAAGAACCTTTTTTTATTATTTTACCAATCAATGTATTTGATTGTTTACCAATTAAAATTATTGAAAGAACTAATAATTATTATGATCATGATGATCAACAAGAAGAATTTTTAGATAAAATTATAGAAAATGAAACAAATACTGGTTTTACTTATAATCAATATTCACCTTTATGGCGTTTAATTATTATTTTTTCATCAAATAGTAATATATTTGATATTATATTAACATTAAATCATGCAATAGGTGATGGAATATCAGGAATGGCTTTTTTTACAACTTTTATTGAATGTCTAACAGATAAATCAACTTTAACTTTTTCACTTAATGATGATCGACCAATGAATGAACTTATTCCATCGAGATTACCTCCTTTTTCATCACTTTTATTAAAAATAATTGAAAAAATCCTTTTACCTAAATTTCTTAGTCAATATTTCTTTCCTAAAACATATTGGACAGGTAATATTCAAATTATCGGGAATGATTTATCTAAAACATGTTTAGTATCATTTAAATTATCAAGTCAACTTCTTGATTTACTACATAAAAAATGTCAATTTGAAAAAACAACAATCCATACAGCAATATTGTCTTCATTTTTATTATCAATAACAGAAATAATGGGTAAAAAAAATGTTGAATTGTCTTGTAATACAGCTGTTAATACCCGTCGATATTGTCAACCAATTGAATCAAATAAAAAAATGGGTGTTTTTGTTTCAGGTGCAGATAGTTATCATTATATTCCATATAGAAATAATTTAATAGATTTATTTTGGCCATTAGCTCGTCAAATAAAAGAACAAATAAATAAAGAAATCGAACATTCAGTATTACCATTAATTCAATCATTAAAATTTATTTCGAATTGGAATCAATTTTTAATTGATCAACGAAAAAGTTTACCAAATGGATATCAAAATACTGTTGATATATCAAATATACTTGCTTGGTCATTTCAATCTAATGATCCATCATGGAATATAATTCATGGTGGTTTTACACAATCAGCAAATACTGTTGGTAGTTTATTTACTCTTAGTGTAGTTACTGTTAATCATATTTTAAAAGTTTATATTTCTTTTCATGAACATTCTATTGAAAATATTGAACAAGTCAATTTTATCAAAGATAGAATGAAACAAATTTTAATTGATGCTATTTATTTATAAAAGATGTTTAGTTTTTTTTTTAATGTAATTTATTCAATTAAAATTGATAATATTAATCAATAAAACATTTAATTGAAAATAATATTTCAATATAATTTTCATTTAATATAAAGACGCTCTAAAATATGTAAATCCTTCCCTTTCTTCATGTATCCTACAAATGAATTATCACTCGAAGATTTATAGAAAAAATATCGAGAATCCTATCTAATGCCCTTATCAGATATAACGGATGGTTCTTTCATATTCGAACTTAAACGTGTTAAGAGAAAATTATCTGTATGGAGAGAGAAAAATAAATAGTATTCATCATTCTTAACAGCTTCCGTTACTCCTAGAGAAATGTACTTCCTGACACAGAAGTGTTTCCACGATGCATAACAAGTCGTCACGTTATAGAAATTTCCAAAGACATTTATCAATGTTTTCTACTCTCTCTCTTATTCTCAAACAAACATGTTTATTTTTTGTTGCTTCTGGCGCTCGAACTGACACTTCTAACTAAAAGAAAAATCTTACACAAATATGAATTATGAAAGAAATGTAATATTCTATCAGTTGGTCTTAATCATTTTCTCAATACATATACTATAACAGCCTTGAAAATGATCGTTAATTAATAGGAAAATAAAATAAAAAAAATTCGACATTTCATCTCCCAATAGATGATTACATATAATCAAAGACCGTTTATGAGTTACTTCTAATGAACATTGATGATTAGTGTATATATTATTTTCGAAGTAATTTCTATATTCTTTTTAAAAAAACTTCCTTTTTCTAAAAGAATAGATTCATTTTTGAATAAATATCATAAAAAATAACTTATTTATTTTTAGTTCATTTTATATTATGAATAAAGTTTAGATTTCAATAATCGATGATGAAATCCCTGACGATAGGACTTTTAATGATTACCTTTGCTTTTCGTTGGTCATCATCGGGAAGAAAATATATCTCCTTATTAACCCAATATGACAAAGAGAATAACCGTTTAACCAACTCACTGTTTTATTGTTGTTTGAGAGAAAATTGCAATGGACAGTAAGATAAAATGTGTTGTGACTTATGACACAATGCACGACACGAGGTGTTCGTTGCGACAGATTCTGAAAGAGTGGTTCGAACCTATCATCCATCAGTTCTCTAATTCAAGTTCGAATATAAATGGACATTTTACTATTAATCATCACTTCAAAACTAAATGAAAAAAAAACGCTTCTCTATTCGAATAGGAAAAGATAAATTTTATATAAATTAATAAATTTGAAGGTAGACTTCTGTAGAAGCAGCAAATCAAGTGATGCCAATACAACACCGCTTACATTCGAGTATTCAACTGACGAAAAGACCTTTTGCCTGGCTAACCACACATTTTATCTCAACGTCGCGACTAGGGTGTGGGTGTGACCAGAACTTGGTCACGACAAATTTAAAATATAGTCATAAAACGGTTATTTTATAATTTAAATCAAAGAATAAAGTATTTCAAGTTTATTGTCTTTTGAAAATGTATCAATATAGCAATAATTCTATACACACACTATAAATATATTTAAAAGAGTTTATATAGAAATATTTTAGAAAAATATGAACTACTAAAAAGTATTGTTTTTTTTTCTTGAATAATAATAATGTCATTTTCATTTACTTTCGATTTCATTATGCTTTTATCAGATTATTTACCTAATCATTGATCATTTTTCCATTTCTCTTCAGTTTATTTATTTTCATTCAGATTTTAGTCAATTGAAAACTTAAGAACATGAAGATTTTTTTTCTCAAAAACATTTATTTATCAATTTTCTCCATACTTTATTATCTGTTATCGTATTTTTTCAAATAGAAAATAGTCTCTCTATCATGCTATTTCATGCAAGAATAGCAAACATGTCGCGTTAGATAGTAGAAATAGTAGGAAAATATGTGACATAACGTGACTAGGCATTGGCACGGCCGCTGTGACTCACGGTCACGTCGATGTCTAGTGTCGACCTGTCCTCATCTCTTTGTACACAGTAATGAGAGTAGTTCCCATTCGAATTACAGTGAGTCCCAAAATTATTCAACAAGGTGTAATTTGAATGTTTTTTCGTAGCCTTAAGTGCTACGAAGAATCCAAATTACACCTTGTTGAATAATTTTGAGACCCACTGTATATTTCCAATGTACATCAGTCTATATGTTTCAGTTTTTCTTGCTCCATTAATATGGGTCTACTATTAAATTTATAATATATATATAAAATTTATCTTTTGCTATTTGAACATGGAAGCCGTTTTTTTTATTTACATTTGAACTCAAATTATGCATACTAATGTCGCATTTTTTTAAAAGTACCAACGACTATTTTTTGAATAGCTTTGCAACGGTTCAAGTTCTAGAGGTCGGGTTTTCACCGTTAGAAAGAGCAAGGTGGGAGATGTCGATCTGTATAAAAATCATTAGACTTACGAGTCTTTTGTATGGTTGTTTGCAGTCAAATATTTAATCGGTTGTTTATTTTCATGAGTTTTCATGACAAGTTAACATCTAATTAGACCAAAATGTAGCCCAAATCGTCCTGTATTTGTGCTAAAATTTTCAAATCGTTGCGTCTTATTCTTGAGTTTATTTCTTTACGCTTCGATATTAAAATATGAAAATTTTAGCACAAATACAGGACGATTTGGACTACATTTTGGTCTAATTAGATGTTAACTTGTCATGAAAACTCATGAAAATAAACAACCGATTAAATATTTGACTGCAAACAACCATAGAAAAGACTCGTAAGCCTAATGATTTTTATACAGATCGACATCTCCCATCTTGCTCTTTTTAACGGTGAAAACCCAACCTCTATAACTTGAACCGTTAAAAAGTTATTTAAATAGTCGCTGATACTTTAAAAAAAAATCAGATATTAGTTGTCGATACACGTTTTTTTCTCGGAATTAATGACAGATAGACTTTTCGTTGGTGATATCTATATTTGTTGTTTTTTTACTAAAAAATAAAATCTTCTTTTCGTAAGGTAAAATAGATTTTGTTAATGTGTATCATTAAGAAAGAGAAATCGTCTATTAGACTTAATCATTTTAACGAAGAATGTTCGAATCCATTATAGAGGGCATTACAATCAAAAAGTAATTTGCTTCTAAAATAGTTATACGAAATCTTTCAGTAATCGAAGATAGTTAAATCAAAAGGAAAATTGTTTGATAAAATTTGATTGAATAAAATAATTCTAGTTGAAAAATCTAGTCAAAATGCATAAGCAACTTTGAAATCTAATATAAAAAGTAAAATGCATTCGTTCGTAGTTGAAATGTTATCAGTATATTATCTATCAATAATTTCCAAATAACTAATCAGTATAATATGTTAAGCTATTTTTGATATATACGACATGTGATATGTCGAACGATAGATAGATAAATTATTTAGTATTTTTTATTATTATAAAAATAAAGATTCATATGAAATAAGAAATCTGATGTGAATTATAATGAAAAATTGATGTTTTCTAATTAAAATGTTTAAATAAAATAGTTTGAGTAAGTATTGACCATATGAATAAAATATTAATTTTTGTTGTTTTTGTTAATCAATATAAGCGACATCTGTTCAAGAAAAATAAATTTTGCCCTTTTCATATAAACGAAGCATATTTTCATTTATTGATTGGATTCGATTTTCTTCCTCTTTTTTTCCGTCGACAATGCACATATATATCATTGTTTATTTGACCTATTCATTGATGTCGACCATTTTTTTTTTGTTTCTCTTGAAGGTTTAATCATACACGAATGATTACTTTATTTATATTTATTACTATTTATTTAAGATATATTATTTCTGGCAAAAAAATAATGGTTAAAACATCATCAAAAAAGCGTCCTCATGAAAGTAGTTCAAGTAGTGATGAATCAGAATCTGAAAATGAATTTCAAGTTGAAGCTATTGTTGATAAACGTACAAAAGGAAAAAAAATTCAATATCTTCTCAAATGGAAAGGTTATACTGATGATGATAATACAGTAGGTTTTTTTTTTATTTATTTTACAACAAAAAAATAATACATTAGAAATTTATTTCGCTTAAAAGGAAGGATCCTGTGGTGTGACCTGCATTCGACGAACAATAAAAAGATATATTTAAATAGATCACATCGACTTGGATTGAGAAATTCAGTTGCCAAATTCTCTATTTTTAATCCTTGTTTGTTGAATATTTCAGTCAAATGTGATGATATTCGGCTAAAAATTTCATCTCATTTCAATGTTTATGAGCTGAGATCGATTTTTGAGGGATTATCCTTCAGTTAATTTTCCATACGTTAAAATTTCAATGTAGAAACTTATTTTTCGTTAAATATCTAAACTTTGAACATAAGATGAATACAGAGAATTATTTTCGAAATAATTTCTGGAACCTTCTAGAAAACTTTTCAAATATTTTTATTCTCAGATAGATCTCTATCTCCTAGTCATTCTTCCCAACAACGAAAATCCGAGATCGATACCTCTCATCGTTACCCAATTATTCAATAAACAAGTCGGTCCAATTCTTTTTTCTGCAATGGATTATAGTTCGATATTTCTTCTAACGTTTAAGACAATTGCATATGTCTCTGACAATAAGTTCCTGCGAGAATTTTAAAAAAAACCTGTCGCTGCCACCATCTACATCTCTCAAAGGCGAGTTTTGCACTTTCGATAAGAGTTTATTGTTCCATGTATACAGTCGATATATGATAATGATTAGTTAAACTAGGTCAACGGCAATAACTCTCTATGACAGAATGAACATAAAACTAGTACGAAATATCGTTGATCGTACGATTAAAGATGATTCTTCGGAATATAAAATGGATCGCTAAAGTTTAAGACACTTTTATTTTTGAAATTTTTCATCAAAGATGAGTAGCAATTGTGATTTTTATAGCTCTTCAAATTCTTTATCGAATAGAAAATATATCAAATTTTATCAAGAGACCTCTATAGAAAACCAAGACAGGAGGATTTTTCAATATAATCATCTCAAAGAGTAGAAAATTCTGAAGAAAACGAAGGGTCGATCACCTCTCAAAGATATTTCCTCATAAAGTTCTAACCATTAGAAAAAATGCAGCTTTAATCAAATTTTAGGGATTTTTTTCATAAAAGTCAACGAATAATGGTTAGAACTTTGTGAGAAAATATCTTTGAGAGCTGTTCGGCCCTTGATTTTCTGCTCTTTGAGATGATCATATTGAAAAATCCTCTTGTGACGGTTTTCTATAAAACTCTGTTGATAAAATTTGTTTTTAAAATTTGATATATTTTCTATTCAATAGAGAATTTGAAGATCTATTCAAAGCGCTATTTCGATTTGATCTAGCTATGAATCTTCGATGAAGAAATTTTAAAAAAAAGTGTTTGTAATTGATATAAATTAAAAATAATGAAATAAATAAATATTATTTTAATATTTTAGTGGGAAGATAAAAATAATTTAAATTGTCCAGAATTAGTAAAAGAATTTGAAGAAAATTTTAAAAAGAAAACAAATGAAAGAAAATCAATACGAAAAAGTGAACCAAGATCAAAAACAAAATCAAACAAAAAAGCAAAATTAGATGAATCATTTGAAGATGATGAAATCGATGAAGATTCATCAATGAATAAAGATAAAGATATTTATTCAAATGAAAATGATGATGATCATTCTCAAGTAGATGTTACATATCATAGTCCTGCATCAATTTTATCAAATGGTAATGATACATCAAACAAATCTCCTATTAGATCTATTTGTAAGAAGATTTTGTTTTTTGTTAATGATAATTCTATTGAATATTTATTTTTATTTGTATAGCTAAAAGTGAAAGTATGAATGGTGATATAAATGAAGAAAACAAGAATTCGAATAATGAAACAATAACTAGTGAAGATAATAATAATAGTATTGAATTATTAAATAAATCTTCACCAATAAAAGAAAATCTATTAAATGAACAATCAAATGAACCACCTGTTAATCTTCGTCTTCGTATAACACCAAGTTCAGCATCATCAATATCATTAACACTTAATGATAGTGATAATAATAATAATACAAATGATAAATCAATTATTATAAATAATGAACAAGAACAAGAACAACAAGATATTATAAATAATGATGATGAAGAAACAATTGAAAAAATTGAAGGTGTTAAAAATGATCAAGATGGAATATCATTTAGAATTAAATTAATTGGACAAAATGATACACAATGGATATCAGCAAAAATTGCTAATAGAAAATATCCACAAGCTGTTATTGCTTTTTGGGAAAGTCATGTTGAATTTACATGAAATATAATATCAATCATTATTATATCTTGTTTTACTTCTTCTCTCTTTATCTTTGTATATTTTTCTTTTCTTTTCTTTTCTTTTCTTTTTTTGTATATGTTTATTGGTATTGACTGTAGTATGATCATTAATAGAATTCAATCTTTTCTTGTTTCGTCTTAGGAAACATCTTTGTAATAGTTGAGCTTTTTTTGTAAAAGATAATTTAGGACAATATCATTTGTTCTTTACTATTAGAAATATCTTTTAGTTCTACTAGACAAATAAATTCATTTTCTACCAAATATAAGGGAGATAAATTCTCAGAACTTTTGTAATCGATATATCTCTGCAATTACTTAAGTTATTTCACCAAGTAAATATTCATTTTCAATAATATTTCAAGGTATACTTATTCTGTAAAAATAAAAGTTCCAGTTTAAATTAATAAGAGTGGTATAAATGTGAGAGAAACCTTTTTACTCTTGTTGTAAAAGTCTTAACAGTACAGGTTTAATCAATTTTCGCACGTGTAACTCACTAGAGTAAATCAAAAGTAGTTAGCCGAAACGAGCATTTCATCTTCTTTCTCCATGTATGTTTAGAATTTTTTTCTGACTTATGGTTGGTTCATTAAGCGCAAATCCTTCAAGGGATCGGAAATGACGTTTCTAGAAAATGCTCAGTTAACAGGTCTTCGTACATGTTTTGCTCAGTTTTTGGACACTTAGATGCCACTGAGGAGAATAAAAACTAGTCAATTACGATCAGAATTTGATGCTCTTTCGAAATGTATTTCCAGAATTTTTGTTTGACTTAAGGCTGATCAGCTGTGAGTCTATAGATAGAAATATTTCTGAGAACTTTTCACCCTTATCTTATTATAACTATTTCAATTGACTGACGAGTAAACATTTGGACAAGTCTATTTGTCTTTATTTTGATAGTTATATATCTCCATATGGAAAAAGCTCGGATGGCTAAGATCCCAAGGGGAAAAAGCTGATTCCAGATCTTCGGAATGACATGGAATTGATGCATATCTAATTTCATGTGATTCTAGGCATGCAACAGTTCTAGTTTCGACTGGTAGACAGGAGATTCGATAAACACTATTTATTGTTTAACTAAAGGTTTTCCAAATCAAGGAATCTGAATCTGCAATCAGTTTCTTAAAATTTTCAGTTCGACTTTTTTTTACTAAAAGAATATTTTCCAGAGAAATATTTTTTTTCTAAAAAAGGTTTTTTAGTAAAAAAAAAAAGTCAAACTCAAAATTTTAAGAAACTGATGGCAGATTCTGATTCCTTGATTCCGAAAACCTTTAGTCAAAAAATAAATATTGTTTATCGAATAAGCTCTAACTCAATCTCCTGGGTACCCAGACCGACAGGGCTAGTGCATCCCTGAGTGATTCCAGTGATTTGAAAGGCCTGGAAGCAACTTTTTGATCTTGTTTCAGGATCAATGGAATTATGGAATCAGCTTTTTCTCTCTTATCAAGACCCTTTTTCCACTTTTCATGTCCTGTCTCGGAAAATATCAAACTCTTGTCACAAAACTTTTTGGTCAGTTTAAGAAGGGTACCATTTCTTAGTTATTTTCTGCTAGATAGACGACCTTCAATTGTGTCTATCAAATTTGAATCCGTGTACTAAGAAGAATTTTATTCGAGACTATGTACAACATCGTACTTATAGTTTGTTCACGATAAATTATCCAATTTTTCGTATATATATATATATTTGTTTGAGAGGTTTGTTTTTACAGCAAACTGATCTATTCGATATTTGACTTGAAATATAACCAACATAAAGATCTCAACTAGATTGATTTAGATGATAAATTTGGCGATTGATTTGTGTCTTTATTTTGTATTGACAACTGAAAAATAAAATACCAATCAACGACAATAATTAACTAACTAGAATTAATTTTTTCTTCGAACTTTAAACAGATAACTAATGGCAGAGAATGTTGATCCCTGTTTCTCCTCGTTTCGAATCGTATGTTACTTATTTTTATAAGACCTTCATAAATCAAATGCTATAAGAGAAAAAAGAAGCACCATTAGAAAAATCTACACTTTTTCTATAAAAGAACCGTGCACAATGTCGATCCTAACAAGTGCAAATTTTTTCTAAGGGTGCTTCTCTTGCACTGTTTCGTTTATGAACATCTTATAAAAATAAATTATATACGATTCGAAAAAGAAGAAAAAGCTTTTTCGTTTGGTAAAAAAAAATGTTTTCTTTCAGCACCCTTTTCATCGAAGAAAAATAGAGCTCGACATTTTTTTGTCATTACTATTTGCAGCATATGTTAGTTTTCAATAAGAAATAAATATCGAACATTAACGTACAACAATTATGCCATTATATTATATTTGATCTTTTCGTCTGACAAGTTTCAGAGTAAACAAATAAAAAGCAAGAGATTTTTATCTCTTTATTAGAATTTAGCTGATAATCATAGAAACTTTTCAAATTTACTGAAGGCTACATTAGAAGAGTTATATAATCTATGCTCATAATAATGATAAATGTGATCGCGATGATGCCTTACTCTGATTGTTGATTATTCGATGCGATTAAATAAATAAAGATTTCTCCTATTCATCATTCTCTTTCGTTTACTAAAAAACCTTTCTATATTGATCATCGTCTATTCAATATATATAAATCTCTATGTTATACAGAATGTTTCTGATTATCCTCACTATAAACTTTCCTTCCAAAAGCATAATTCTGACGGATGACCCTTATTAAATGGTTCAGTGTCCAACAAATTCACTCCTGTCCCAATATGTTTCTAAAATCAAACAAAACATAGCAGAAGATGCCTGGCGAAAGCTTTCCAATGTACAAACGAAGGTTTAATACCAATATTTTCGAATGAAACAAAACTATCGACGATTTTTGGACATCGCACAAAATTTCTCAGCTCAGATCTTTCCTGCCTGAAGCAAAATCGGACACACCGATTACGCCAAGCTGAACGTGCATTATGTACGATGAGTCCGAGCCAATTACAAACACAACTCACGTACCTCCCATGAGGTAGCTACATAAGGACCAAAGCACTTCCCCTGGCATAGAAAACTAAGAATCCAAGGTGCCTCATCTGACAGAGACTTGAGGATCCAAGAGTCTCCCAAGAATATGGAGTGAGGACCCAAGGTACTCCCTAGGATAGCGGACCAAGGACCCAAGATATCTTCTAGAATAGGCTGCTGAGGACTCAAGGTATCCCTTAGGAGAGAGACTTGAGGACCCAAGATCCTCATCTGGGATAGGTTGATGGGGACCTAATCGGACTGGATACCCGATCTACTGGAACTGGTGTATGCATAGACCTAAGGGTGCCCCTATATAATAGGACATGAGGATCCAAGGGTACCTCCAAAAAATAGGTATGAGGACCCAAGATCAGTATTTTTCACAGCTCCCCTTTTTATCCAAGAGAAAAAGTAGATTCGTGGATCCTCGGTATCACTGTCGTATCCTATCTATTTGCATGATATTCTTGTATCTGTGATACGATGACAATCCAATGGCGATCTAGAAAATCCAGAAGGTCCCGGAATCCCGAGATCCACTTCCCCTTCCCCCTTGAACTTAATCCATGGTTTCCGAACAGTACCCAGGTATACGTTGTACATCACCATAATCTTTTTTTTTTTTTTTTTTTTTATTTACAAGAAGAATCTATTTTAAATACAATTGCATTACCATCTGAATCTCGTTCACGTATTAATCCACGATATCAAACTTTATTTTCTGATGGATATGCACAATAATCACCAACATTAAATTTTTCACTTGCTGTTACTAGTGGCGGAGCCAGGATTTTGAGCTGGGGAGGGCTCAACCCCCTCTGAGGGACCTTTGAGCCCCGGTTAGCACATAAAATACATGGTTTAAAAATTTTCCTGGAAGGGGCTCAAAAGTTTCTGGGGGGGGGGCTGAGCCCCCCCTGGCTCCGCCACTAGCTGTTACAGATGATTATCAATAAAAGAAATTATATTTATTGTAAGAAGAGATAAATATATTTTATACGTTGATGATTGAGAATATACTTCAGCAAGTTGTTGATCAAGTCGAAGAAGTTTGTGGTGGCTCCATGACCGGTATAAATAAAAATCTATAAAGAAAAATTATTTTAATTAAAAGAATATTTATTAAAGAAATAATAACAAACCATTTAAGTCATTTATATGACCACCATAAACTCGTACCACTGAATCAACATCCGGATTTAGAGAAGGAATGTTCATTTTGATACTATATGATCGGCTGACGGACTGATAGAATGAAGGCGCTTATCCTTTACTTTTACTGGTTATTTCTGAATGAATTGTGTGAAGATTTTTGTGTAACTGGTCGTTCATTAAGATTTATATATATTAAAAATCAACAAGATATAAACAATATTTCTATAAAATATTAGGCTGGCGCTTTTTAAATAAGTTATAGAGGGCACTACTTGATAATTTACGATCGTGGAGGATCGTTATGAAAACATCGCAAAAATGGCTTCATCATTAATTATTGCACCCTCAAAAAAATACTATCCATCTTATAAGACGATGCACACGTCTAAAGTCTATGTTAGATATTAGTTAGACACTAGAAACGTCTCTTTTTGAGACGCGTGGGTGTAATAAATACTAAAGTGTCTTATATATTAGACAATTGAATGAGTAGACACTAAAACGTCTTATTCTTTGTCTGTCTATCGCTATTGTGCAGAATTTTCATTTCTTCTTTCTCATTTGTGATGACTGGTGCAAGTGAATTTTATGAAATTTTTTGAAACTAAGTAAAGTTATCAAGTAAGGCTTGTATTTATTCAAGCAATAAAAATATTGGAATCAGCAATAGTTAAGATACGATTTAGCAGTAACTTTTGAGCAATAAGAAAACTTGATTTGAGCAATATTATAATATTAAATTAGCAATAAATAATTTATTACATAACAACATTAATTTCATATTTGAGCAACAAAAAAAGAGAAAAAC